GGTAAAAAAGCTAAGGACTCGAAAAAGCTCAGCAATATATCAGTACCAGACCTAAACAGATCCAAAGTCAATAAATGTCCAACTAACAGCACAGAGAAGTCGCAAAAGCACCTGAACGAACAAGCGAATATATACTCAACTCCCAAAGAAACGCGACAACCAGTCTCATATAAAACAAGGAAACCAATTACTTGTGGTCTTGATAGCTAACACAGCGCTCGAGTTCTAAAACAAATGCAATAAACAACAGCTGATATGGCTTTTTGTAAGTTTTTTTACTGACATTAAACAATGGTAACCGGGATGGAAGACTGAATGCCTGTTACCACATTGTCATGTTATCATGGCATGAAGAACCGTCAGTATCGGGTATGGCCGCCATTATTGTTGACGACAGCCAAACAACGCCTCCTCATGGACATGAACAGATGCCTTATGAAGGCACGGGGGGTGTTGTTGTACACATCTAAAACTGGTTGTCCAAGCTGACGCCGATTCCGCGGGAGAGCTGGTCTCTGACGGGGACGTCTGTCAATCTCGTCCCACATGTGTTCCACGGGGTTGAGGTCTGGGCTAAGAGCTGGCTAGTTCATCGTCTTGATGTTATTGACAGTCAGGAATTGTTGGGTGAGTCTGGCGGTGTGTACACTCGCGTTGTCCTGCTGGTGAACCAACTGGGGTCTGGCAGCGAAAAGCGGGATGACAACAGGCCGCAACACCTCATCCACATAACGTTGTGCAGTCACGCCTCTTCCACGACCTAACCCGTTGTTTTGGGAGATGACAGGTTGTACTCGCCTGACCCAACTGATTCCTCCCCAGATCATAATGGAAGGCCCTCCCCAACGGTCAGTTTCCAAAAAACAGCGGTCACGGAATCGTTCATTTCTTCGACGCCAGATCCTGACACGGCCGTCGGCGACATGGGTACAAGATCGGCTGTCATCAGTGAAGACAATGTTACGCCACTGCATGTGTCTCCAATTCAGGTGTTGTCGTGCTCACAGAAGCCTCTTTTGTCGATGTCGAGCAGTGAGGATAGAACCAACATAAGGCCTACGACAGTGTAGTGCGTTTACCCTTAGACGTCGACGTATTGTAGCCGCAGAAACAGGCCGATTGTGGATACCAATGGTTTGATTGGCTGTCGTCGTGGCTTGAAGGAATCTGTTACGTGAATGGGAGTTCACAATGTAACGATCCTGTCTGTGGGTCGTCACCCTCGGGCGACCATTTCGCTGACGATCTCTTACGGTATTGGTTTTGTTATTGCGTTCTAGAAGTCTGTAAATGGTTGCACGGTGGACACCAAGTTGTTGTGCAACATTAGCAACTCCCATGCCAGCATCAAGCATCCCTAGCGCCCGTAATCTCGCATCATTATTCAGTCGTGGCATTTCTTATCAGATTGTCTACGAACGTTACATTCAGGTTCTGCTGATTCGCAAGTGCTAAATGTGAATGTGACATAAGTTTCACATGCAGGTGCAGGTAATGACACGGGGAATGTGATAGCGGTGCGACACCGGTTGCGTTTGGGTATAGTGATTATCCGTTTTACCATATGATCCGTTTTTGATATGAACAAACACGGCGCGGTGACAGAAGTGGCAGCAAAGGAGGAATTTTTGTCTATGGAATGCCTGCGTAAGACATCCATACAACCATAATCAGTACTTATTATCTAAAAAAATGCACATGTCATATATAATCACCACGAAGGAAATGACAACCGAGTGTCGCGTTACTTTTGGAGTTTAGTATATGATACCATTCAAACCAAGAGAATGTATCTGACGTGAAGTTGGTCACTAATGCGTCAAATTTAAAGAAATGTCCAGTCCAGTCCAGTTAATTTAAATACTTCTTTCATTTTCACTTCAGGATGCTTTTTATGCCGGACGTTAATTTTATGTATGTTCTAGGTACTATTTCTGTTTGTTGATCATGACCGTTACATTAATATAGTCTGTGCATGACATTCCCAATCTCTTATAATTTTTTCGGATTGTACTTCATTGAAGAACGATCTCGCAGACAGAGCGTCTCGGGTGGTGGCATTCCGTATCAACAAGATCTTTGTGATACAGATACACGCAGTTCTGATAGGATACGTAATCAGGTTCACCAACGTCCCACTGAGTGGTGTGTGTTGATCCCGTTAACCATCTGAAGGGGCCACTGGTGGTTGACTTGTTCATGCCGACCCACACCTTCGAAGTCCCAATACCTGAAACATTGCAAAAGACAGATGAAATATGCAAATCATGTTTAAATTGTAACATATGTTTTATTTTGGATTAAACTTTCGTAGTAAAGTACAGATTCTAGTAATTTTGTTGGGTTGAGTCCCATGAAGGATAAGTGTAAATGTTAACAGCTCCCACGGCCGAAGGTTATGATTACACAATGCCGTTTAGAAGTCGCGGTGGCTGAGCGGGTTATACGACTGACTTTGTGTGCTGGCGATTAGGTGTCTGACTCTGAGAGTGTGGGTTTGAATCCCGCATGGGACTCAACCCAATAAAAGTACTAGAATCTGTACTTTTCTAAGAAAGTGTAATTCCAAATATATATAAAATGCTACATTTGACCACTTTCTAAATTGTATAATAAAATAATAGAAAATCATTTGATTCATCTCTCAAAGATCTGCTTTCTACACATTCGGAACACCAGCCACAAAAGATGTTGCATTGAAACTGACTCTAGCATTGGTAATGTGAGGAACTGACTACTGTAATGTTGAAGGAAAGCCAAGTTCTATGGATAGTCAACTTTTTTTTATTGCAATGAGTGCGACGTTTCGGTTTTTTATACTAACACCGTTATCAAGCAAATGACGCTGAACAGCAGCTGGTGCCTTAGCGGAGGCTGATGTTTAGATTGGATTTGATAAATGTCGGTGAAATATGTTTAAGCTTCATTGTACTTACAATTATCAGTAAAGGCGTTTTGCAGATATGTATGTGTGTCATTTTGGGTCACAGTAGGTAACAATGACTGTGCCTCTCCCCGTCCGTTGTTGCAAGACGGACTGCAGACGTTACATACTGACACGTTGAAAGGGAATAGGAACAGGAACAGTTTGGCGGTTTCAACATAATGTGGGTTATAATATAACTTTTGGATGAACGCAGTAATCGCAGTTACAATGGGTGGCGTGCCTGGGATGACATGTCCTTGAAGATGCTGAAAGTGACCTGTTTGTTCTTACCTTCCATGATGTAGTTCTTGGCGTAGTTGTGCTTGTCGTCGGTGTCCAGGACCACGAGACGACCACCATCACCGTAACATGTATTCTGGCTATCGCCCCAAGTTTTAGTTTCATTCCTGAGTTTGAAGCAAAGATTCGTCGACTCAGCAAAGACGAAACCCAATCTAGTTGGACAAGCTGCAAATAATAATTGCTTAATACTTAAGGGTCCTTCACAGGAATCAAGGAGAATCAGCCACAAAATAAACATTTCCAAAATTCGAACCGCATTCGGGAGAGAATGTCTAAATAAACAATTTTTTCAAGCCAATCTAGTTGGGCAAGCTGCAAGTAATAATATTATATGTTCAACACATATTGACTTGCCATCAACAGTCTGTGCTGGGGATTGGGTGGTCAGTGTCGCTGACTTGTTCAATGTATGTTGTATGGATTTTGAGACTCTATAATTTAGGGTCGTAAGAGTACTCCTGGTCCTGTCTTGTGAACGCGCGTTTCTCAACTCTCGCTTATTTGTCTATGAAAAGTATATGCGAATTCTAAAGCCTACTCTGGTATTACTGAGCTAAACTTATAGCGAGGGTTTATCAAAACATGTCTTTTTTACGGATATCATTCAGTAATGGTCAAAAGGCCAAATCCCTTTCACTGATCAAGCAGGATTTTGTTCAGAGACTTCACAACACAACACACGATTCCTCCCCGAACATTATTTGGTCAGCATTACAACGTTTACACCTCTGAAGACTTTTATGTAGACAAGTGGAGAATATTTCCAAACTTGATTAAGCTGTGAGCCAAACACATGATGCCCGATGCAGTTCCTTTTTGACTTTTACTTACTCTTGTTTGAGTTTTTGTTCTGTCAGTTAACGTTAATTGGACAGTGAGAATTACATCTTCAGAAAACCTGACACCACGATTTGAATTCAGAAAGTGGTTAAATATAACACGTTATATTTGGGATTACATTTTCTAAGTAAAGTATACATTCCAGTTGTCCAAGAAACCTGATATAATCCACTCCAACATAAGTCATACCTGTTCGGTTGGGCATTAAGGTTACCCTCGTTTATCTATGAACATACATAGAGTGCGCGTTTGTATCTATCTTCCTCTGTTCACGTACCAGGATCAACACGCTCTTTGGGATATTTCATTCCTATCCCGAGTCTTGTGTTATGACACTTAAACATTGCATATTTCTGTTTGTTATCACTGTTTAGTTCCAGCTTCCTCGTGTATATCCCACGGTTGTTGGTTTTATGGACGAGACTGTTACGCCCCAAGTAAGTACAGTTTGTCAGACAGGATCAATTTAAAAATGTTTGTACTCATTATCTCATACGGTATATGCCCGGCCGTCCATCCCTGGATAATAATTTCCTCAGTCTTAAAAGACAATGTGAAACAATGAGGTCAGCGCGTGTATTCCCAGATTGCTATAAGTTGACCATGGTGATGATACTTATGTACGTGATTTAAATTAACCAAAAAGTAACTATAATGTGTTTGTAGTTTGTTCTTCATTTGTTCTATAACGGATTAATCAAACCGAAATGAATGTGCATGTGGGGCTGGACTTGATCATAGATCAAGAACTGACATATATGATCGGTTATTTCAATAAGCAATACCATCAATCCTATACTGTGATTGTTAGATAGACTGAGCACAAATTTGTTTAAAAATGTCCTCAACAATATGTATGTTTCCTAACTTTTTTTCAGTATGTTCTACCGCGATTATTTATGTCATCGTTAAACAAAGCACGTGAACTTACTGCGATAGTAGATTGCGCCAGGGGCTGGTGATAAACCGACGTGGATGAGAACGTCATACAAACTGCAGACGTCGCCATCATGTCTGAGATACACGCAGTCTTGTTGGCGACAAAGACGTGCACACTGGCCAACATCAGATATGCTTGTGTAGGTTTTGGATGGTACTTCTGTGACTTCTCTGTTGTCCAGACTTTCCATCCTGTAATAATACGTTCTTCCGTTAATACATCTTTGAACAATAGTCACCAGGAACCAGCCCACAATCACAGCAGTTGACTTGACGTGCATGTTCCTGGAAGGCGAGTTGCTTCTGTGCCTCCGTTTGCGTCACTGACAGTAATGATGTAACTCCAGTTGTCATTATCACAATTGCTTACATTAAAATTTTAACAACACTTTTATGTCTGCTATTCTCTCTGATATTAGGACGGTGATGGATATTGATTCAACATCGATTGATCTACAATAGACTTACCTTAATTAAACGAGCGACTGCTGGACTGTGTTACAATAGATAAGAGGGAAATAAAAAGACGATTTATGCAGATGAGTTAAAACGGTCTGAATACCATATCAACAACAGTTGATCTAGTTCAAATGCATTCAGCGTACCTATACATCTTCAGCAATTAGGCAGTAAACAAATCCATAATTTATGTGCAAATATAGATCCGAATCACTTCAAACACATTGTAATATTGACGGACATTTATCCAAGTTGAATGATTTTGAGTTTATCCAATTTGTCCGTAACTATGATCTGTTCTTTATCGGAGAAACAATGGCCTATGATACTATGAAAACATGTATATGTTTCCCGGTTATCAGTGTCTCACTTCACCTGATAATCGAAATAATCAATTTGGACGATTTCAGGGGTAGTAGCACTATATATCAAGAAACAAATAGTGCATTACTTTACCAGAATCCATTCAGAGTGGGGAAAATGGTATATTTGTAAAGATGAGTGATGTTCTAAAACCAATCATTATCGGGGGTGTATACATTCTACCAGAAACGTCACCGCTGTATGACACACCTCTTGATAATGGTCTTGGTGATCTTGAGATTATAATAGCTGGTGCAAAATCGGGAACTGATCAAGATCTAATTCTGTTTGTCCATTTCAATGCTCGCGTAGCTCAGCTAGATGATTTTATGAATGAAGATCAAGATGATGTAGTGCTTATGAATCATGGCTCGGTATATTGTGCAGATTCGTTCAGTAAACAAAGAGCCTCTCAAGACGATAAATATAAAAAAATTAGACTGCCACGGCTAAATGTGTGCAAACTATTGATCATTCATATATACTCAGCAGCAAAAAAACGTGAGTACGAATTCAAAATTAGATAAGCACTGTAATCAAATCATTACAGAAATGGACATACTTAGCGGATCAAAAACAATTTTTGTGTACAATATCTTGACACATCAATGAATAACTCAGCACAATTTCAAAACATTACGTGAACGTTTGCAGTCCATGCAGACTCTTGACTTCAGTATCTAGTGTGACCACCACCAGCGGCAATAACTGCAGCACAGTGTCTATGTATGGAGTACACCAATCGATTGATGAAGGCCATTGGCACCTGGAACCACACTCTGAGAAAGGCCTGGCGCAATAAATCGTCTGTGTTCGGCCTTGGTATGACATTATTCAGTCTCCTCTGAATTTCATCCCAAAGATGTTCAATTGGGTTTTAATCAGGACTAGGGGCAGGCCACTGCATAATGTTGACACCGTTCTGCTGTAGGAAGTCCCGTGTAGCTCTGGCAGTATCACAGGGGGTATTCGACTGTACATGCAAAGCGGATGTTGCTCCTCTGCAACAACCCCGTTTCCACTGTACAGTTTTCCAGGGACCACCCAGGCTTCGCGTTCTCGGTTAGTTTAAGGTATTCCCCACCTTTAAGTAATACAACATTCTAAATGTTATAATATGATGTCTTTCTCCACATATCTGGAACCAGATTATAATGATAATGATTCTATTGTTGTCATACATGTCTATTTCAAGCGACTCTCCAACTCAAGCTGATGTAGCGATCGCGAAAAAGATTGTTTTACTCCTGATATTACACAAGTGATGACTGCGGTGCTTTTGTTCACTTTCACAACAAAATAAGTCTTATTCAAAGTCCTGAGTGAAGTTTAAATGCTTAATTTCTTTACATTTAGCAAGAAACATGGCAAAATAGCGCATGTACGCTCTGATGATTGTTGCACGGGTCCTGTACGGGTAGTTGCAGGAAATAAATGTGGCACTGTACGAGGAGTTGTATGATAATGATGCCATGTATTTTAACAAAATCCTTGCTACAGACAGACATTGACACGGAGAGGACAACAACAACACCAGCCAGCCTAGCAGACACACACAGACGTCAACAACGAGAACATTCACAGCAACACTTAACATCCCGGCCGAGACCTCGACACATCAAGAACAGAACAACAACAACACCAGCCAGCCTAGCAGACACACACACACACACACACACACACACACACACACACAACACACAACGAGAACATTCACAACAACACCTAACATCCCGGCCGAGACCTCGACACATCAAGAACAGAACAACAACAACACCAGCCAGAACACACACACACACACACACAAGACGTCAACAACGAGAACATTCACAACAACACTTAACATCCCGGCCGAGACCTCGACACATCAAGAACAGAACAACAACGACAACAACAGACCACAGCCACAGATTTCATCACATCATCCTGGAACATAAACGGACCTTACAACAAACTAACTGCTTCATTCCAGGAAATATCATCTTTTGTTGCCAAATCACACGTAAGTGCATTTATTGAAACATGGACCAAAAACGAAACAGACTTTGACTGACTGACTGAGTTTGGTTTAACGCCGCTTTTAGCAATATTCCAGCAACATCACGGCGGGGGACACCAGAAATGGGCTTCACACATTGTACCCATGTGGGGATTCGAACCCGGGTCTTTGGCGTGACGAGCCAACGCTTTAACCACTAGATAACCCTACCGCCCCGGACCAAAAACGAAACAGACTTTGACTGACTGACTGAGTTTGGTTTTACGCCGCTTTTAGCAATATTCCAGCAACATCACGGCGGGGGACACCAGAAATGGGCTTCACACATTGTGCCCAGAAACAGACTTTGAACACATATTCGATAACTATACATCATACCAGTTTGTAAGAAACAAAACAAAGCCCCGAGGTCGATATAGTGGTGGCATCTTACAATGTAGTTTATATAAGATCAGGGCCCCGTTCCTCAAAGCGATCGTAGCGCAAAGATGATCGTAACTCCCATACTTTAAAATAGACTTACGGCTGTCGTAGCGCTACGATCGCTTCAAGGAGCGGGGCCCTGATCTTACTGCTTACTTCCAGAGAATATACCCCGAATGGGAGGACAGTGTGTTGTTTATAGTGACTGATATTCCATGTGTAGGTACTAACAATATACTAGGTTTTGTGTATATGACTAACCTAATGTTACTTCCAATTCTGAAATGTTAGAAGATCGTTTGTGTGTATTGTCATTTCGTTTTCCACAATGTAAGTTTATATTACAAGGCGATTTCAAAGCCTGGACTGGTTCTATGCAAGATTACATATTTGAAGACAGTCATGACTATGTACCTGTTGACAAAGATACCAACGACACTGACAACGTTATCGAAAGATACTGACCTAAATAATTTTGGTCAACAATTACTAAGTGTATATTGTAACCATAATATTCAGTTGGTAATTGTCATTATCCAGGAGATTATCTGGGTGAGTTTACGTTTATTGGCACACAAGGCAATAGTGTTGGCGACTATTGTATTGTTTCTTCTGACATATTCCAAGTTGTACATAAAGTCATTGTATCTCTTGAACCGCTGTCAGTCCACATGCCCATCATGACCAACTTCTCGCGTCAATCCGAAATTCACAACTCCGGCCAATCACATGACGTTACACGTGCACCGGGAACATGTATTCATAATTTACACAGGTACAGACTCGATGTTGATAGTCAACCGTCCCTTGTTTCTAACTTAAGAAGTTTTCTCTTATAGACAGTTTTGTTGACTTCAGGCAACTTGCCAACACTAGCTTAAACGATAGTGTACCATTTCTCCAGGATGGTTTTTGGTAAATCTGTTGCATCGTCTTCCTCAAACACACATGTCAATGTGAAGAGTAGCATAATTATTCAACCCCCCTGGTTTGATAAAGACTGTAAACTGGCTAAACAGATAAAATCCAGAAAACTAAATGTTTTCAGGAGAACAAGTTTACCATCATAACTATATCAAAGAGAAGGAATCTTTTAAGAAACTTTGTAATAAAAAGAACACACGATAACCGAAAACATAACTAAGGCAGCTCGTGATAAAGATTGCAGATCTTTTTGGAAATTAATTTGGCAACGGTGGATCACAAATGGTAAAGAGTATCTTGCCTGACACGTAGTTCCAGTATTTTAAGAATTTTCTCAGTATCTCAGTATTTTCTTGTATCCAATAATTCTGATTTTGTTTTCCAGTATATAAGAAAGGAAGCCATGCTGACCCCGACAATTATCGTGGTATTAGTCTCTTGAAAATCATGGGAAAACTATTTACAACTACTATCGATTCAAATTATGGCTCTCGCTGCAGCATGTTTTATCTGAATAACAAGCTGGATTTCGTGAACATTATTCCACAACAGATAATATGTTCATTCTCTAAAGTTTAGTCAATAAATAGTTATGGGAGAATTCAAGGGGAAAATTCAACTGTATGTTTGTCGACTTTAAAAAAAGCTTTCGACTTGATTGATAGAGTGAAATTAATGTACATTCTTCTTCGTAAACAAATTCACGGACGAATGTATTGTATCAACAATATATATGAAAACGTGAAAGCGTGTTAAGAACTGACACTTGTACCTATACTGATGTCTTCACGTCGTCAGCTGGTGTCCGTCAGGGCTGCATGTTGTCCCCAGTATTGTTTCTCATGTATATTGACGAGCCAGTCCACACTATTATACCCGAAGGCACACATGTATATTGATAGTGATATAGAAGAGATTTTCCTACTACTGTTTACTGACGATGTTGCAATGATTGCTGACTCCGTTATTAATCTCGAACGTAAATTTGATGTCTTATCAAGTTATGGTGTGAAATGGGGACTGACTGTAAATACTAAAGAAAGTAAAATCATGGTATTTAGAAATGGTGGTAGACTCTCAAAATATGAGACATGGTCATTAAATGGGGAAGACATTGAAGTCGTCTCCCATAATAAATATCTTGGTATAGTATTTTCTTGTAGGAACAATTTTTCTAAAGCATGATATACTTTAGCAAAACAGGCAGATAAAGCCCTAGGCCCTATTCGTAAAATGTTTCATCGTATTCCTGATTTATCAATAGACCCTTTTTTCAAGATGCTTGACAGTAAAATCTTACCTATTCTACCTTACGGTTCTGGTGTCCCCCGCCGTGATGTTGCTGGAATATTGCTAAAAGCTGCGTAAAAACAAACTCAGGCAGTCAGTCAGTCTACTTTAGGGTACGGAAATTTTGGGAGTGTTTGTCAGCTAAACCATTTGAACGAGTCCATACCAAGTTTTGCGAATATATTCTTAAAGTTAGTTAGAGAACTTCAAATGCAGCTGCAGCTTCGTTAAAAATCCGCTACATTGCGCCGTGCTGTAACTAAATTACGATGCGCATCAACCGATTTTAATATCCAAGCGTATAGACGCGCCGTTTCTGCCGGTTCCGCTATGTAATCTGTCCCTTCTGCAATGATGGTTTTGAAGACTAATATCATATCCTATTAGTTTGTCCTCTGTACCAAAACATTAGAGAGAAGTATATACCACCTTATTATTATACATACCACTCTAAACTTAAATTTACACAACTGATGTCCAGCCAAGATAAATCTGTATTGTTTAATACTGCTATCTATCTGACCAAAATGTTTACACTGCGAAACTATGAGCGGGCGCTCATGCCATTATGAGTTTCCCATATAAATCACGTCATTATACTATAGGCCTCAATGGCCATCATCTACGAAAATAAAGAGTCTGAGTCTGAGATTGTGGAGGTGTGAAATATTTTTTCTAATATTGCATAAAACAGCTATGTATAGATTTAGAAATTCAGATCGAATTGGTTAAAAAAAACAATAGTACAGCATATCTTTGTCACTATAGTTCTTATAAATCACTTTTAAAAACAGAAGTTTATTTATTATCAAACTCTATAGATTTGAAAGTTGTTCTCACGAAGTTTCGTACACTTTCTCATAATTTGAAGATTATTAACGTTATCAGCAAAGTACAGAAAACTTTGACCGATCTGCCTTAATATGTGATAAGAGTGACAATATGGCTGTCGAAGATGAAGTTCACTTCATTTTGAGTTGTCCAAGCTATAATATTAGCAGAAATAAATTCATTCCAAAAATTTTCATCAATCTTCATGTAAAATTATTCTGATATTTTGCAATAACATTTCTTGTACAAAATAACTAGTCTTCATATGATATCATTGTACTTGTCAGAAAAAAACCAGTATATACATCTCAGTGAACATTTTACACAGAAATTGTATTTCAATCTGGGCCACGAGGCCTCCAATACTGAATAAAGACTTTGAGACTGAAAAAAACCTAATCAATTGACAGGACAGATTGAAAGCATTATAGCGTATATACTTCTCGTTACGTTTAGTGGTCCATCAAACATAGCTATTAAGGGTCTCTTCATACTAAATATAGAACGTCAGTGTAAAAGAACACCCAGTACTGACAATCCTCAACAACAAATTCCGTCTGGTGTAAAGGGAAACATAGCAGTGACAGTTACATAAATGGATCACTTAAAATCAGTGATGACACCAGGTGTTCGCGAAAGGGGTAAGCATGGCCAGCCCAACCGGTAGCACCCGGCTTTCAAAACATTCCCCTAATAATGGAAGTAGTTTTGGCTGTGCTGCACAGCATTACTTGTGCCATGCAACGGTTGTCTGTAAACACAAGACAATCATTTGGTAGATGAACCGGAAAGTCCAGCTGGATAATTTGGAATTACGACTGCTGTGAAGAAGTACAGAGATTCTGATACTTATAAGTAAAGAAAAACGTTTGAGAAAGAGATGTTTCTTTAACACATTGGGGATCAAGTAATGATGTTGCGCTGATTCAAGTGTGACTTCTTTTCAGCATGTACTGGCGATCAATCCAACTAAAAAAAAAATAAGTACTATAATCCATGAAGTCAACTGGTTTGTTTCTTAACAACAATAGTTTAGTTTTCATACACCAGGATGAAAAATCTTCTAATTTCAATCGGTAATATCGTGCCATCAGAAGCGACAAAACCGTTTCCACATCCATAAGAAATCTCTGCTAAAAGCAGATGCAATCGGGACTGTATCATGAGTGTATATGAGTATACATTTGTTTCAGCAGTATTACAAGTCACATGATAGTCTCTTTTCTCGCCGATACCTGGCAAGAATACTGGTTTGCGGAGATAGGCAAAGTGTGCTAATGGCGGGTGCCATCAGTAGGACAGGGCATGCTGACCCGTTTTGTGAACATTTGGTTTCATCGCTGATTTTCAGGAGCCCATTCACATTTTCACAGCCTTATCCACCTTTACATATAGTGGAACTCACAGCTAGGGGAGACTCGTTGGATATTCGTTGACATAAACCCATACATACCTGTGAAGATCCAGATTAGAACTGATCTTCAGCAAGCAATGCTTGTCGTAAGATGTGACTAACGGGGTTGGGTGGTCAGGCCCGCTGACTTGGTTGACGCATGTCATTGTAACCCAATTGCAGAGATCGGTGTCTCTGGATTGTCCGGTCCACACTCGATTAGTAACAGATCACCGCCATTTAGATAAAACTATTGCTGATACCCACACCACGTGGTAAAAGAATAGATTTTTGCATGCTGACCTCAGATTAGAAAACTGACTCCAACGTTTTTTGTCAAATCACGTGACTGACACCTCGAAGACTGTCTCGAATAATCGATACTGATTTTTCTCGAACAACAGGCATCATGACTCATTTTAAGTAATCCATTCATATCATTATATCGGTTTACAACTTGCAATTGTCTGAAAACAAAACAATATGACATATGTGACTGGAAATATGTTTACGCTATTCATGACTTATCTGGATGATATGTGAGTACAAATTCTTGATAACAGAAACAACATCAAAAAGTGTTACCATGTTATTGTTTTGATAGCTCAATAACTACTCGTGTATACGGACAGACAGATAAGACAGAAATTCTCTCATCAAGTTGGACTTCAAGTACCTGTCAGATGATTTGTTCTTTCAAAATTGTAGGGGCCGGGGGGATTTGTCATCTTCTGATGACATTTGTTGAAAACTGTCGTATTTTAAATCAGTTCAACTCCGTAGTGCAAATGCCGTTGCAGTACATGATTCATATATAGCTTTTGAGATATTGTGTGGAGCACATGCTTTACATGTACCTCCTCTATGGTGATAACATGATTGGACCAAAATTTGGGAGCTGAAATATCGAAAACAATTGTTCATTGATAGTAACTTCTAATGATATGAAAGTACATAGAAGGCAACCTGATTTTTAATTAGGGCTCCATGCCTCTAGGCAGGAGACCTATTGTAATCGTTCGGATTATTATGTTTTACAGATTAAAGACAGTATGCAGCAGAGAGGGTTCGGGTGATCCTGGCACAGTCAGGCTGGTAAGGCTCATCATCAGCTCAGGGCCCTTGCCCCCTCTACTCGCTGCCCAGACAGCGAATGGGACTTCTCCCAGGAAACGATGCCTAGTCGAACCCACCAAGAACTTTCCGGGGTATATGAAGACACCCCAACACTGCAGCCTTCTGCATTACCCAGAATGTCAGAAGGACCGTACTCCCGGTGGAGAACCCGGGCACTCTCCTGATCTGCGCCAAGAGATCAGGAGGTACCAAACCAAGGGCACCGAGAACAATGGGGAGTCTGACGACAGTGTACTTGGGATGCAAGCGAGACATTTCAAAGGAGAGGTCTGCATACTTAGTATGCTTTTCCTGAATCTTGCCAATCACATTGGTGTCAAAAGGGACAGAAAATTCAATGATAAAATCAAATCATTGGCTTTATCAAATAGGAGAAGATCAGGTTTGTTGGCTGGAATTCTTCTGAGGCTGTATATGGGCCTATTCCACAGAAGTTTGAAAGCATAATTTTCCATGACGCCCTGGACATGTTCAGGGTCGTACCATGGATGGACCTCGGAGTCAAGCCATAGGCATGTCGGAGACGGTAGTAAAGCAACGAGCCGTGCCATCATGTCGTTTAAGATATGCTGTTTGTGCCAAGGATGGGCATCCACTGAAAAGGTGTTGGACAGTCTCTGTAAATTCATTGCAAAGTCGACATTTCATGTTAATAATTTCCTAAAGCCCTCAGGTTCACATTTAAGACCAGCCGACTTCATCCAGGCGAAGGAGTCGGTTGGATTGCTTTTCTGTTCCACACACTGCATGTACACACGATGCAATGGCTTCTCAGAAAGCTTCTTCACAAATGACCGACTCTGGGCAGACTTGGTGAAGGACTTCACCTGGTTTACTCCCTTCGCTGTACCGTTCAGCACTACATCGCCATCAGCAAAATCAACCTCAAATTTCAGATTCTGTCCAACAATCTTGGCACTCTTAAAATAGCTGTGGAATTCCTTGCTTTCATCATGAGTCTTGACATGCATCACCAGAGGATCATCCGATAAATAAATATGTGCAAAAGTACACAATAAAATTCTATCATGAAGAGCCTCCACATTAATCAAACCCCGACCTCCAGAATGGATTGGCATGTATAAACGATTGAGAGAGGAACGAGGGTGGTGGGCTCTGTTATCAGACATGATCCTTCTGGTCAGGTGGTCAAGACTCTGGATGTCTTGTTTTGTCCAATCAACTACTCCAAAGGAATAGGAGAGGACTGGCACAGCAAAGGTATTTGTGGCTTTGACCTTGTTTCGAGCATTTAGCTCTGAGCTCCAGATATGTTTTAAGCGAGATTTATACTCGGCCCGAAGTGTTTCTTGAATCTGGGCATTTTGGAGCTTGTCTCGAACTTGCATTCCAAGATAGGTGTAGGCCTGATCTTCCACAAGATGCTCAATAACTCCTCCCCCTTGTAACTTGACCGAACCACCATTAACTACCTTGCCACCTTTCAAATGAAGAGTATTACATTTGTCGAGTCCAAAAGTCATGCCAATATCATTAGAAAAGGACTCGACAAGGAGAACCTGCTCTTTCAAATTGGAATCTCCTTTGGCAAGGAGCTCGATGTTATCCATGTAAAGGAGATGAGTAAGCGGTGTTGGGGATCTGTGCTGAGGAGGTCCGGGATGTTAACCCGCCTCTCTATTGAGCAGAAAGCTCAAAGGATTTAGAGACAAACAAAAAAGCAAAGGACTGAAGGAGTCCCCCTGGAAAATTCCCCTTCTGATTGGAATAGATTCCGAAGTCTGCACCTCCCCTTGCGAGTACATCTCAAGTTGAGTCGACCAGCAACTAATCAAAAAAAGTAGTCGCTCCGGGAGGTCAGTACAACGAAGAGACTTCAGAATCCATTCTTGTAGTCAATCCAGCACATGGAGAGGTTGCGGTGATATGTTTTAGCCTCTTCCAAAATCATTTTCTGTACAAGAAGTTGATCCTTGCACCCTCAAGACCCCTTTCTTCCTCCCTTCTGCTATCTGTAAAAAATATTTGTTGAAGAGTAGTAAGATGACACGAGGTTTGTCAAACCCTGTGAAGATTTTGTATTGTGTATTCAAACATGTGATAGGGCGGAAGTTTATTATTATTATTTTATTATTCCGTCGAATTTTGTACCAAACATAACTCCTAAACCAATGCTCCGAATCGCTTACAAAGAAATCACACAGATGCGCTCCGAGGTGTAGATATTCCCCTTAAAAATCTCTAGGCTCTAGGCCCAATAGCAAAGGGGAGATAATTCAAAATAAATTCCAAAATTTCAAAGTTTGACAGCAAATATCTCAAGAACTAATTGATCCAACACTTCCAAATCTCTTGTACAGATGCACAATCAAATTCCCAACAATTTTGCCTGGACGGGTCGAGTCGCTAAAACGTACCGTTTGGCGGTTATTTTTATTTTCAATGTTTGGCCATGTTTTTCAGCAGTTTTCTGAGTAGTTTGCTCCCAGTGCCAGTATGGTAGATGAATGCTTGATGATTCCAGAACACTAATTGTTTTGACCGTAGACCCAAGAACAACTGAGATACATTCTTTTAAAGAGGGAACTATTTCTTCTCCGGAACTTCTTAAAAAGTACATCACCGCCGCAGTATAGATAGAACTAAAGCCAAGGAGCCCTCAACTATATTTATGTTCATATTTGTACACTGTTTATATTTATAGTTAGCATTGCCAACAACAAATAGTGACTTACTTGCTTCTGAAATTATTTTATAGCCGTATATTCCGTCCGTATTGTCCAGTTCAAACAGGCCACATCGGTTAAGCAAAGGTGACATTTATTATGTAGGTTTGATTGTCTGCAATTACCAGGCTTCAACCTTGTGTCAGCTGTGAGTGTTTTCATATCCAGATGCTTGTGTCAGTCTTTTATTTCAAAGAAAGACATGACAATTCTGTAAGTTCAAGTTCTAGAAGCTGAGTAGAAATCATGGGTGGAAATTCAGCAGATGCAAATCAGCAGGAATGAATTCTAGACCATTTAGTCCCAACATATGTCTTGAGACGTTTTGTCATGAAAAACAGTAAACAAGTTGTCTGAAATCATTTACTATCAACCTTGTGACGACATCTATCAAGATATTGTTCATGTTTATGACAATAATTGTTTTGTTGTATTGTGAACATTGCAAATTGTGCAACATTCCTGTGATATATTTTCAGAATTGAAATAAAATATTATACAGAACTGAACCACACAGGTTGTGCTTATTTGGGAAAGATATTGCTTTGTGTTTTCTACAAATAATTTTTCTTGGCAAGGTCATTTGTCCACATAAAATGACCCTTGACCAGGTCAAAGTCCAGCCAGAGCACAAGTGTCTGATCAAAAGGTCATTGCTTTCACTGAAACTAATTGTTTTGAAATGCAGAACTTTCTTTATTAAGTGCTCAATTCCACCTGTATTTGTCTGTGTTGGATCTTCTTCAGGTGTTGATGATGTGAGTCACTGGATTGTCTGACCAAGTCTGTCAATGGCTGCAGTATTGATGACTGCTTGGATTAACAGTAAGCAACAGAATCTAAAAGCACCTTGATTATAAAGTCAAAGAATATAGCGTCTATGCATACTGTTAAGTGTTGATTCCCAAGTTGAAACTAAACGTTAACTGATAATCAGTCCATTAAAGAACTCAATGTATAGCCAACAGACAACAAAGCAGTGTGGCAGTTTTATTCTAAAATAGAGTTTGCAAATATTACAAATCACTGCAAAGGTATCACAATGGCACTACAAAACAGAATGTTAGTACAAATTCAATGTTTGTGTAATACAAACAGAGTTTATAACTATAAAGACAGAGATTGTAATATTCACCTCATTGCAACAATGGTGAAGT